GAACTTCAGTAAAATCCTATGAGCATTTGAAGACCTTTCATTCATTCACTTCATCACTAAAATGAGAGTAGAATGACAGAATGCACAAAAACTCAATTGCGAACCTTAGGTTAAAATCACTTTAACCAAAATACAAACAAAAAAAAAAAAAGAGCAGAGAAAGCAGGGATTCATGATTAGTTACCAGTTTGCTCCACCGTAACTTAACTCTCATCACCGAGAACCTCTCCTTATTTCTCTTAATCTTCTTGAAATTCAACAACAACTCACTTTAGCACCCAATTGACGAAGTTGTCGAAGCATTCAATGAAAAAGAGATAAAATATTGATATTTTTGTAACCAAAATAGAGATAAATATTTGTGAGTCAGCTAGGAAGGAGGTACTCGAGCCAGGCCAGTCAGTAAGAACACAGTTTAGGTAGCAGCAAAAAGTTCTTCTGGGTGACAGAAGCATTGTGATATACTTTAGGTTTTGGAAGATGCAATATATGTTATTTCATTGATCACCCTACATTTTAGAATTGTAAAACACGGAGAGATAGTAAACCCTTCTCCTTTGTCCGGGCTTGGGACCGGCTGTGATCCAGTAGTGTAACTGAAACATAGGCGGAGTTAAAAACTTGATTTTTCCCCGGTAGGCTAGTTTCACAAGTTGAACGAAAATTGTGGAAATATGTAACAAGCCTTTGTAATTTTAGATTTTTCACTGATTGGTCCGTGAAAATTTACACTAAGCATTTTGATTGTATATTGCACATCGAAAAATCATATCAAAAGACTAAAAGTTTAGCAAGCATTCGAAAGTACACAAGCCAACTTATTTAGTGCTTACGAAATTGCAGAGAAATTGTTTCAAGCCCCAAGAAAATCATTGAAATAAACAATGTATGGTGAATCAAGGAATATGAAAAACAAAGTTGTAGAGTTATAGGAGCGCTTTATGAATGATTTCATCATATACTATGTTATATGTAGACTGGTCATCATCGTTATCCACCGTAGATGGTCGGATTAATATTCTTATACGGCTTGAACTCTTTGCTCTCGATAAAGCAACATATAGCTGGCCATGAGAAAACAGTGGCTCACGTAAATAAATACCAACATAATCTAATGTTTGTCCTTGTGCTTTATTTATCGTCATTGCAAAACACAAGCGTACCGGAAATTGTGTTCTTTTAAATGGAATAGGTAATTTCTCATCATCTGAAGATAACAATGGTATTCTAGGAATAAATACGTGTGTATTTTTAAAATCACCGCTTGCAATTTTAGCGCTTATAACACGGCTCTTAAAATCACAGCATATCAGTCGTGTACCATTGCATAGACCTTCACAAGGATTTAAGTTTCGCAACAACAAAATGGGACAATTTTCCTTCAAGATTAATTTGTAAGGAGGCAAACCAGCAGGGTTTAATGAATGTAGAAAATCCTCAAACTGGCTTTGATCATTTGGTTCAACAGTTTCATCCATTGCAATAAATGTCTTGGCATCTTTAGGAAATTGAGCTATAAGTCTATCATTTATTTCATCAAAAAAGTCATTTTTTGTCGTCAAAATACACGAGGAGTTAAAAAACGAGAATCGTGAAAAGACGTATGCAAATCAGGATATATTATGTTGAATAAAAGATTCCAGCGATCTTTTTCAGTAATATAAGGACAATTAAAGAGCTCGGAATTTCTATTTTACCATCCATATTTGTCTTTTCTTTTCCATTTCCAATTCGCATCAAATATTCACAAAAAGAAGGATCAGTTTTCGCACGCATATTCTCTGATAATCGAAGTTTTTCAAGCTCATTCCATATTTCGGAGTTCAATATGCTTTCCCGAATGAAGTCTTCCTTTTTTCCACTTCGAACCACAGGAAGAGTTTGTCTAAAATCTCCTCCAAACACAACAACTTTTCCGCCAAAAAGTACATTTGTGTCCATTATATCTTTCAAAAGAGAATCTAAAGCTTCAATCATGTTTTTCTTGGCCATGGATACTTCATCCCAAACAATTAATTTTGCATCGCGAATCAAAGACGCCAATGAGCTTTGCTTACTGATATTGCAAGAAAACTTTTCATCAATATTAATTGGAAATTTAAAACGTGAATGAACTGTTCGTCCTCCAGGAAGAATAGAAGTTGCAACTCCAGAAGTTGCTGTTGCTAATGCTACAAATCCTTTAGATCTCACAATAGCTAATAAGGCACAATATAAGAATGTTTTACCACTTCCTCCAGGACCATCAATAAAAAATGCTCCTGATTTGTTAGCAAATACTCTCTGAAGGATTATGTCGTATGCCATTTTCTGTTCTGTATTTAATTTTCTATGCAACAGTAAGTCTTCGTCGCTCACAATGATGTTTCTTTCGAAATATACTTCCTTCGCTTCATTTGCCATTTTTGAAGACGTGATACTTTCTGAAACAAGGTCAAACTCATTAATATCACGGCCCATGGAATGTAATATATCATTGATGTGATTCAAGACAGTAAGGTGGATATCTTTTGCCGTTATATTGGCTAGGTTCTTAAAGTCTTCAGACATTGAATTTTCAAATTGTTTCCACAGTTCCCTTGGATTGTCATGGCTGCAATGTACTAATATTGTAGCAAATAAACGTCTTAAACTATAAGGCATTCGATAACATGCAACCTCTGACATACATTCAACTAAGTTGATGTCACAGTGCAACAACCCTCTTCTTTCCGCAGATTCTCTAAATGTGTCGCAACATATCTCGTTTACTTTTAGAAGATCTTCGTATGATTTTGGTGCTCTCACATTCATTAGTAATAATCTAAGGTAATATCTTTCTCCTTCTGTTGGATGACATGTTACAACGCAGCCAATAACATGACCTCGTTGCCGTCGAGTCCACATTTTGTAGGTAGATGACCATACGAAGTGTTGTGGAAAATCTTATACAACAACTTAAGTCTTTAGCTATCTTCGTTGTCTCATTCATCAAAAAAAATTCTAGTNGCATACTGTCTATTGTGTCAGTTTTTTTAAAGGAGACAAATTGTAGTCCATCAAGATGTAGCTGGAGGTGATATAACACTTGGAGTCATTTCATTGATAGGAAATGCAAATAAACGCCACATAGCTTCCGGAGGTGACACCCATCTAGCAGATTGATACTCTTTTATTTCATCTATTTGTATATTTGTGTTATCTTCGTGTAAGCCAAACGGAATTTTATCATGCCCTTTACATATATATTTGTATATATATTTCACAACTTTAATATCAGAGCAAACTTCCACATTTATATGACAATTATATTTACACAACAAATAAGGATTGTAAGGAACAACCCATGAGTTATCAAGAAATTGTTTTCTAACTTTTACAGATTTACCAGTGTTTCGTCTTCTATAAATTGGATATGAGTTCTTTCCTTTTGTTGTCTCATCAGCAAAGCTTTTAGGGTACTTAAATTTGCACTCATTTTTTTTCATACATGAATTTGTAGGATCTAAATTACCACAAGGCCCATGCATCATGTGTTTAATAACAAGCTTATGTAAGTAAGAGTATATCAGGATCAGGCAGCTCAGCACAAACAAATTTGTCATAAGCCTCAGGCGTTAATAATTTGTAGTCATCAGTAAGTATAATAAGGAAATGAGCATGTGGAAGACCTCGGTTTTGAAATTCTATAGTATACATATAAGCTGCAACTTTTCCAAATATGTTTCTTTTCAATATATCTGTTTTCATCTCTTCTACCTTTGCTCTGAACACTCGACTAATTAAATCAGGCCTATTTTGAGTTTCGTCTGTTGGGAACAAATGTTGCTTTATTTCGGGCCAAGAGGGATTGCATGTCATTGTCATAAATATATCAGGCTTTTCAAAATGTTGCACTAGCGCAATAGCATCCATATAACGTTGGCGCATATCTCTCGGACCACCCGTAAAACTTGTTGGAAGAAAGTTTTGTTTTCCTATCTTGGAAGCTTCTCTTTCGCAAGTCTTAAGATATCTAGAAGTCCTTGTAGTACATCAACCCGAAATAAATCTTGGTTAAATGAGGCAAAATCTAACCTCTGAGTTTCTACTTTTATGAATTCATCAACTGAATATTGTTGAAATAATCTACCAGAATGTAAAATGACGTTTTCCTCATTGTCTCTCATCTGGAGTTTGTAACAGTAGTATTCACGACAGGAAACATTATTTCTTTTTCATTTCCCCTTTTGCAAAACATCCGCTTCCATATCATAGTAGTCCATCAATTGAACACATGTTAGAGACACTCGGAAGTTGTTCGGTCTCATGGTAAGCTCGTTTTCTCAATTTATTTTTAGGTTGTACGATTTTTTGAAGTACGCTCAATGCCAACCGTTTTGACCATAGGAAAACTAAAAGTGGATTTGCAAAGGATCATTAGCACCATAGTAGTAATTTACTAATTTGGCTTTTTGTTACTTGAGAGTATAAATTCGAATATGGGGTGCGGAACTATTATTGTTCGTTTCTTGTTCTAGCCATAATGCTGCGACTTCTGACACAATTGGCAAGTTGTATATTCGTTGATCTAAGCCAGAGCCACATCGCAATGCAATATAAAAGTTTGATAATTCTAGGATATGTATAAGAGATTTCAAGAAAATACAATAAGGATTTATCTTCAGTATATCCATTAGCTTCTCAACAATCGATTGTTGAAGTATATGTGAAGAAGCCATTCGATTCAATATTTCTGTATTCTCATCACAAAAATACAGCTGTAAATTTCTTGGTTGACGATTTGGTGGAATTAGATCATTTATGAAGTGATACATTTGACCTTGTACTTTAAATGTATAAATTCCTTGGTTCCTTTTTGCTAGTGCTTTGTCGTAGTTCATCCAAGTGAAGTAAATGCAAACATATTGTTGTATAGTCTGAGGTACGTACGAAAGTGTTCATATTCTTCGGTATCGCCTAAATATAGATTCAAGAGTTCATTAGGCATTTCATGTGACATCAACTTAACTGAACCATTGCTACAGCAAAATGCTGGTCTTTCATATTCAAATCTTTTTGCTCCACGATATTTACAATTAGTTGCACCACTGGGTAGTTCCCTAATGTTCCAGTTCAAACCTATTATTTTTGATTTATAACCTATGTACATTAGTTGCAACAATATATCATGTTAGTGTTGAGAAGAGAGGAGCAGTAAATGTTGTTGTAACAGTAAATGTTGTAATAAAATTAAAGTGAGACAAACCTTTGTTTGTGACGATAGATGTCTCTGCATGATGTTGTTCATAGGGTGCACCAGAGCTGGAGCCTAATATACAAACAACTCAAGTTAATAAATTAAAAGAGAGTACAATCAAACTGAAACAACATATTTCCACTCACTTACCATGTTCAAAAACGGAGAAGTGATCGCTAATATTTTTTCCTTTGTCACAACCAGCTACTGGCCCAGCAATCGAACCTTTTTCAGGAAGGCAACACGATTCCTCTATTTTTAGTATTCTCTGTCCAGATAACTCAGTAGCAGCCTCAGAAGATGATGCTACTTCAGTATGTTCAACCAAGAGACCTTGGCTTGTCGACTCAATATTTTTTTATCGTCGTTGTGCTAAAAGCATTTCTTTTTTATCAGCTGACTGATTTGCATACACATCATGTCTCCTGAGATTGATTTTAGAAGCTCTTTCTGCTGAATACTATCGCTTCCTCTTCTGGAAGAGCCAGCTTGGCGCAATGGTTTTTTTATCGGTAGGCATCTGTATTTGAATAACCAGTAAAACTTAGTAAAGAAAGAATTGAAAACTTGATTAAAGATATTCAAGAAATTTTGGTAACACGGAGAAAAAGCAGATGTTATTACGACTGGCATGCTAAGTGAAATTCATAGACCAAAATCCTTTGAAGTTGAGCAAATATACAAACTTAAATCACAGATCCTTCTACAATTTTGAAAATAGGGTAATTCAGAATACCATCTTAACTCCAGAATAGAAATCAGTGCGATTAGATCAGTACAAAGGATTTGCTAAATGACCAGAATAAATGACCGGAATAAAATACCTCGATAAACATTTCATCTTCTTCAAAATACATACAATATTCAGAAATTTACCACATTAGTTTTTGATTCTATTAATCACATCAGTATCTCTTCTTTTATAGTTGTAGAACAGAGAGCAGGTATCAAGCTTCTTTCTCTGTTTTAAATGCTTTTGTTTTAATTCAACAAATCTGACGTGAGCCCCCTCCCTCCCTTTCTTTCCCCTTCCCTTTCGCCTTTCCCCCTCTTCTCCTTCTACTTATATCCTCTTCTTCCTCAAAATCAGGTGTTTGAACAACTTCTACGGCAAGCCTTAATTTCAATTTTCAAACCAATCCAAAATGTTATGTCCAAAAAAAGAAAAGATCAACATCAGTAATAGCGTTAAACCCATCAATTTTAAAGCAAAAACCAATAGAATTTCAGCTGATTTTTAAAAAAAACCATAGCGGTTACAAAATCGATTAACGGAGAAGGAGACCTCCAAATAATTACATAGTCACACAAGTTTTCCAGTTTACCCAAAATCACACAAGTTTTCCAGTTTACCCAAAATCATAATTAGGGATTAAAAGAAATTAGGGCTTTTAGCATAAGGATGAATTTTGGAGTGTAAGGGTAGAAATCTAAGGGGAACAAAGTCACAGAGAAAGAAGAATACCTAGCAGTAGTGATACGATCAGCGAGAAACAGAGTAAGGCAAACAATTAGATAGAAATTGAGAGGTAGCCTTGTCCTTCTCATCCTCAAATTGCAACCAGATTTCACGTGCAGCACTTTGTAGATGCAGACACGTACAAAAATTGTGGTACATGAAATGACCAAAAAGGGCCTTGGTCGGCAAGCTGGCAAGACAACGCCCAGCTGCTTCCAAGACTCTTCTATATATTAGAATAATAGGTATACTATTATTTTTATGCATTCACTGTAAGTTATGTTACATAACTTATATGATAAAAATATCGTATATTGAGAATATGAACATCAAGTGGCTGTAGTTTAGTGGTAAGAATTCCACGTTGTGGCCGTGGAGACCTGGGCTCGAATCCCAGCAGCCACAGAGTATTAATTTTTTCTGCTCTCTACCTTTTCAGTTTGGGCTTATCTTTGCACCTTCGTTTTGGGCTTCATGCTACATTAGTTAGGTCACTAATTTGGGCCTCTGAATCACGCAATCTGAGTACTCTTTACGTGGTTTAATCCATGTTGAATCCAAAGAAATCGCCATTATCACGTTAATATTGAAGAAAACTATCCAGGTTGGTCTTTCAAAGCAAGAATACTTGTAATATTATCTAGTTTATAAACTACTATCAATATCAGCCCAATGCTACCTATATTAGCATTAAATTCTTTTATTATTATTATACAACGTGACCTATCTGCTATGCTAGACGCCCTTAATTTGCCAACACCTTAAATTCTCTCGACTAGCCTAGAAATCCAACAATGCTTTTGCAAATAAGATAATTGATGACGAGCTACACTCCCAAAAATAAAATTGACAATAATTTTAGTAAGATTTTGATCAATTACAACAAGACAACTGAAGACGAATTAATAGTGTAAATGTTTATGGGAATCTCACAGAAATGTCCCAAATAAGTCCTAACTTACCAGCCTCTAGCCATTAATCATGACTTACCAAAACTAACCAATCACATATAGAAATTGAAAATCCAAATAAATAAAGTTCTTTCTCTCCAAAAATTACACGCAAAGATCTCCTTCAATATTTTTAAGCGTGATTAACAACATTAGATGCAAGACGGAAAGGAAAATTCATGAATGAGGCAGCAAATAAGGTGATGAAATACCAAAAAAAGAAAAATACAAGATTTCAAAAATCTAAGCAAAAAAGGACCCTTTTCAATGGGTACGGTTGAAATTCATTGAAAACATATAGATGAGTCAATATACAAAATTTGAGGAAGATTGGAGGTGCTTTGGACTGATTTGATATCGAAATTCGTAGTTAAAATCGAGTTAAAAAAATTCTTCTGCGACACATGTATCAAACATGTATCATGCATGTATCTTGCACACAGGTATACATGTGATACACATTTGATACAAATATGATACATATGTGATATACAAATGATACACAGTGTGATACAGATATCATTTTTTTTTCATGTTCATCTTCTACTTCGAATTTTCAATTCAAATCACCTCAAAACTCTACCAAAACATCCCAAAACTGAGATCCAAGCTCATTAAGATGTACCCAATCTATTCTAATAACACCCACTCAAAAGAAAGCAAAAATTTGATATTTTTTTGCTACAAATAACTAATTGGCTAATATTGATAATATTTGGCTAATATTAGTAATATCTTATGAATTGGCTAATTTTTGTAATAAGCTACTTATAAATGGACATAGCTGGTAGTTTTCAAATTTTTATCACATTATCAAGTTATCTAATAACCAATTACAAACTAATTTAATTATGGCCATTAAAGCTCGCTTGATCTTGAGTTTAAAATTTTGGGTTTTCAAAATTAGAATTTATTTCAAGTGGATATTATTGGAATAGATTGGGTATATTTTAAGGAGTTAGAATCTCAATTTTGGGACGATTTGATGGAGATTTAAATTGAAATTTGAGCCAAATTTGAAGTAGAAGATGAACATGGAAGAAGATGAGATATTTTTTTCGTTATGTACCCCTCGTATATCATTTGTGTATCTCATATGTATTAGATATGTATCCTTGTGTATTCCTTGTATATCCATGTATATCTGTGTGTGAGACAAAAATGAGATACATTTTTGTTTACCCTGGAATCCGGATAACAATTGAATTTATATGGGGTTTTAAGGATCCGTGAACTAAAAGATACAAAAGGTTTGGATTGAGGAAAATAAAAGATAAAGACTCAACAATTGCTGTTAAAGTAAATAATCGCAGAATATAATATTGCTTAGAACAATTGTGCTTGATAGCGTACAAGAATTGAGAGAGATGGTACTGTAGTGTAATGATTTTTCGATCCCCTCTTTATGGGGTCTTCTCCCCTTTTATACATTCTGATTAAGGGTAAAAATAAGGTAGGTAAATTAATTACATCGTGGATCCCTGTAATTACGCCTTAATGGCCTGAAGTGGTTGAGAAAATCACGTTTGGGCGAGATATCCGGCGACGCTTGGTTATCCGTTACGAGTCCGGCTTCCGACCTTGTGTGTTTCTCCATCCGGTGGTGACTCATATCGAGCTCTGCAACGGTCTCGAAATGACTCGACCTCGGTTGTTGACGTGGCCGTCGTTCTACCTTGCATCCAGGTCGGGTTCGATGGCCCCGACTTGCCCTGGACCGGACCCAACCCGGTCGGGCTCAAGCAAAAAAGGGTATCACCCAATACAGATAGTCCCCTCGTTTATTAGAGAGTAATGATAATAAACGATATGATCGGTGACGTGATGCCCGTGACTTATGGCCATACGCCAGCTGAAAAAGCCATCGAGTGCTCTGACCACGTCTGCTGCAGGCATTTAATGCTTCTCTTAATTATCTGTCGCTTCGTGTCTGTAACTTCGCGATTCGTGCCGCCGCCTCATGGGAAAAGTATAAACGACCCTTCCAGGTTCAACATTTCTTATCTTTCTCAAATTTTGCGTTGGTTGTATTTTCTTTTCATCTCTTCGTAAAGCTTCAAGAAATGGCGAAAACTTCACAAAGTGTTCCTTCTAGGCCAAGCTCGTCTGCGAGCCCCGCTAGATCTGATGAACCTGCGCCAGAACCCCCATTGAAAGCTTTTACACCGACTGGTTGCTTGGTATCTGCCGACTTCCAGGTTGAGAACCCATCATCGGTCCCGGGCCGCGGCGAACCGGCATCGGAGTATATCAGCCTAATCACTCCCGGTTGCCTAGACCGGGTGAGGGCTAAATGTAGATGGGAAGGGAAAGACCTGGTCGCCCCTTCCCGTGACGAGTCGATTATGACTCACGTTGAAGGGTATCTTAGTGTATATACATACCCCTTCACCTTAGGCCCCTTAGAACCCATTATAGTGGAGTTCTGCCGGCGGTACGAGGTGACCTTAGGTCAGGTCCACCCCTCGATGTGGCGGATCGTATATCTCTTTCGGTTTTTTGTCGAGAGAGTCGAGGGCGATTTTCCCTTTACCCTCGACCATCTTCTTCGATTATACAGCCCTCGAATATTTCGAGGGGGATTAATAAAACTGGCCCGCCGGGCTAGCAAACCCCCATTCTCCAGCATCGATGAAGACAAAGATCGAGGCTGGATGAGCAGGTTTGTCCGGATCAGGACGTCCGACCTGATTCCGGCTGATTGCATGCCATTTCCGGAGAGGTGGAACCTCAAACGTAAGTATTTTCTCACTGTTCATCTTTTAGAGTGTGTTTTCCTCAACTTCTCCCTTTTCTTGTGCAGCGGTGACCCAAACTCCAGCTGCCATCAAGGATCTGGCCGGCTGGGTAAACAAGATAGTGGCCCAGCGGCCATATTCGGAGCGAAACTGGAAGGAAATCTCCAAAGGTCGGTGGGAGGCGAAAAACCATGGTAAGCCTTCTTTTTGACCGGTAGCGCACCAAGTTAACGCATTTTTTCTTGTATATCGGGAATGCATCATAACCCTCGTGTTTTGCAGGCTTGCCCAAGGACGCGGAGATGAGGTCTTCAATACTATGCCCCCTTCCGGTTCCGGGAGAAAATAAAAGGCCCGGGGAGTCCGGTACGGACGAGCCCCAAAGGAAGATTAAGCGGACAAAAAGGGCCGCCCGCAAACTAAAAAGCCAAATCGTCTTGTCCTCCGAGGAGGAGGACGACAAAGAGGATGACGATGAGGAGCAGCCGGAGCTCGTCCGCCATCGATCCATTCGACCGGACCCCGAGCCGGTGGTCGATCCAGCTGAGGCTCCTCCCGAGGACGTGAGGGTTGAGGATGCTAGTGAACCCTCGGCCCCTGCGCGGGCGTCCCCGGGTACCGATCACCCGGTTACGTCCCCCCCGTCTTCCTCGACTTGGGGGCAGCTGCCGGACGACATCCCGATGATGGGAGGTAGCTTCGAGACCTTTTTTGATGGGGTACCCTCCGCCAACACTTTCGGGCTCGAAATCCCCCGGAAAGACCCCCAGGCCGAATCAAGTGGGACTTCGGCCGTCGACAAGCTTGTCGATAGGTTTCCAGCTCCGAGACCCTGGAATCCGGATAACAATTGAATTTATATGGGGTTTTAAGGATCCGTGAACTAAAAGATACAAAAGGTTTGGATTGAGGAAAATAAAAGATAAAGACTCAACAATTGCTGTTAAAGTAAATAATCGCAGAATATAATATTGCTTAGAACAATTGTGCTTGATAGCGTACAAGAATTGAGAGAGATGGTACTGTAGTGTAATGATTTTTCGATCCCCTCTTTATGGGGTCTTCTCCCCTTTTATACATTCTGATTAAGGGTAAAAATAAGGTAGGTAAATTAATTACATCGTGGATCCCTGTAATTACGCCTTAATGGCCTGAAGTGGTTGAGAAAATCACGTTTGGGCGAGATATCCGGCGACGCTTGGTTATCCGTTACGAGTCCGGCTTCCGACCTTGTGTGTTTCTCCATCCGGTGGTGACTCATATCGAGCTCTGCAACGGTCTCGAAATGACTCGACCTCGGTTGTTGACGTGGCCGTCGTTCTACCTTGCATCCAGGTCGGGTTCGATGGCCCCGACTTGCCCCGGACCGGACCCAACCCGGTCGGGCTCAAGCAAAAAAGGGTATCACCCAATACAATTTTGATATATGTGTCATAGGAAAAAAATATTAAACTCAATTTGAACTACGAATTTTTACTCCAAACAACTCTAAATCACTACTAATCTTCCTCAAATTTTGTATATCACCTAATTTATGTATTTTCACCGTATTTTAATCATATCCAACAGGGGTAGATCTGTTCTGATTAAGCATGTTCTTTTGGCTCTCCTAGTTCACTTACTAGATGCTATTTATTCACCAAAAGGAGTATAAATTCAAATTGAGAAGATGATGACAATGTTCAGCTAAGAAGAGAAATTTTCACGTAGCATCATAGAGCTTTGGCAACCTTATCCTGAAGTAGGAGCAAACTTCAAGAAATTACAAGGCACTTGTAATGCGTTCACTGTCAAACAATGGTGGAATTTCAGGACAGGGCACTCTCTTTAGAAAAGGTTCACTATGATTAAATACTGTTAGAGAATCCAACCCTTGACAAAAAAATGATAATTGAACTTCCTTCCTGATGCAAATGTGCAAAACCAAAGAGAAAGTTGATATACATATTCTATGGAATGTAGGTATAGTAGAGATAGACTTTTGGAATGATAATTGAACTTCCTTCCTTGTCACACCCCGAACCTGGGGAGGCGTGGCTGGCTCCCAGTGCCGTAGTGGCCCGATCGAACCACTATGTAACTCATTCATTCCTTTTATAACTATCATGGGCCAACATGGCCACAACTCGTAATGTACAATTGTAAGTGGACAAATGTTATATCAATGAACCATCGTTCATACAACATGAATACATATGGGCCGACAAGGCGACATACTGTACATAATATACCTGTGTCTACAAAGCCTCTAAGATTATTTGACATAAAATGGGACAGGGTACCGGCCTACCCATAATTCTGTAGCAAAACCCTAACACGGTGACTTATAGACTCGGCTGCACTCCGAATGAGGTGGAGTCTTACCGATCCTTCGCTGAATGCTAACCTCGTCTACTATGAGGGCTCGTCAAACTGATTGTCTAATACCTGCAGGCATGAATGCAGCGTCCCCAACAAAAGGACGACAGTACGAATAATGTACTGAGTATGTAAGGCATGTAAATCAGTATATAAAGAACATGGAAGAAACATGGAGTAAAGGACTCAACCTGTAAGTCTGGATAGCTCCGTAAATCATGAAACTTTTATAATGTCATGCATATGCGTACGAATGTCATGTCGTGCATAGGTACATGTGTTCATAACATAATCAAGCCTCTGAGGACATTCCCATCATATCATCTCGGTCACTGTGGGCTAAATCATCAATGTATACCAGCTGATCAGGTGGTTGTGCGTATATAATGCCGTAACCTTTTTCCATATCCCATATACATATAATACACATATATAACGCCATCTGGTCATAGGTCAATGTACATGTATAAATGAATGCAATGCATGAAAAGTACGTCAATAAAATCTTTCGGAATGTCATAAGACCATTATGCCTTTGATTAATGTCATGAAGTAAACTTTATCAACTTACGTATTTTCTGAGACCCATGAACAGATGATAGAATAATAGAACACATGGAGAATCAAGAATATAAGCATCTCTAGTATTTCTATGAATAGAGTCACTTATGGAAGTTGTGCATTTGCTCGTTTCGTTTGTATCGTATAGATCATGCCAAAAGGAAAGAAGGGATAATCTTAACATACCTGGACCGATTCTCTTGACAATTCCTCTAACACACGTCAATTGCGACAATACGTAATAGCGGACTATAGTAGGAAAACAATCCGTATGATATTCTTGAGAATGATTATATCGAGCTCCCTTAATATTGCAAATCCCGATACTATTATGTCGTATAACTTCGCATGAATTCCTTGCTGGAACAGTAACGTTTCTTTCCTATTTTTATGAATCGTTGAAGATGCTGATAAAATATCACGTTTTGAAGGGAACTTTGAATGATAAGGAATTATTTTGGTTGAAATCTTCATTATCCCTCTGCTGTTACATAAAAAGTTTAGGCTGGAGTGTTTCAAATTGAGAAATTTTTAGTAGAAAGCTTTTTATCTTTAGTGTAGGCCAACTAGGTACAAATCAAAATTAGTTGAAAGAATGAACTTCTACTACTTAATGGTTAAGTTGTTAAGAGTCATCCGTAAGTTTTGCATCCACAATGAAGCTTGGCACTTTAAAAAAAAAAAAAAAAGAATTCTTCAAAAAAAAGTTAGTTGGTAGGCCCCACTAATTTTGATGACTTAGCCCCTTAATCTTCCAAGTGTGACATGTTACTTCTTAATTCTAAGAGTCATTCTTTTAGCTCTTTTTTTGGCTGCCACACTAGGGCTTCAATCTTATCCAAAATATTTTTAACTAATCTCCCACTAAAATTTATTAATTGTCCAATTATTCACCTAATTAGGAATTATTTCAAATTACTTAAAAAAACTATTTACTTTTAACACATTTTATACACTTCACTATCATGGTCATGTGGTATCATACAAAATAAATACATATACTATTATTTTATTAAAACATCCATGTAAAAATACATATATTTTCTTAACTTAAAATTTACCTAATCTCATATAAAGAGTAAAAATTCTCATACGCTTAATTCTTAAAATGGTAAAAAGATAACCTTCTTTTCTTGTGAGAAAATAATTTATAACTTTACAATAAAGAAAATCTTTTTGTACTATAAATTCTCAAAAAGGATAAAGGATAACTTTTCTTATGATAAAATACTATCTACTCTTGTAATAAATAAAACCTCATTTATAAACTCCCACATGTCATGTATTTAATTTAAAACTTATCACAACCATATAAAATCGTATCTATCAACTTTTACTGCAAATGATTTACTTCAAAGAAAATACATATCAAGCCAATATATAGTAGTTCCGAAATTCTTCAAACTTACTGGGTCTTACATCCATATCTTCATGTATAACCTTAATCCCTTCCAACTCATATGTTATTATTTCGACAAATCCTAATGTTAAAGTACGGAATGCAACATTCCTGATGGAAGTAAGCTAGGTACTCCTAAACTATATGAAGTCTATCACAAAACCCTGTTATTAACATCATTCTCAAATGCCTACCTATTGTTATTTCATGGGAAATATGGAGATGCAGATGCAGAGTCATGTATGGTACTAAGACGATTAAGTTGAAGAGGTCCCTCATGCGGATTTCCTTCACTACTAGTCAGACTGTGAACAATCAGTTTTGCAATTGCAACTAGAAACCTTCCTGGGATTGCATAGTTCAATTTTTTTAACTGTAATGTGAGATTCAAAAAGCACTTAGAGAAGGTAAATAAGTAGGAGGTGGTATTACTAGAGGTGTCAGTGGCTCCCTAATATTGGAACAATCAGTTTTCCATTTGCACTATGTATGCGGACTAGCAGAGGCGGATCTAGAATTTTTGGAATATGGGTGCACCACTGATAAAAAGAAGGAAAAAAAGATTTAAATGGGAATTTACCCTTGATCCTTCGGATAAATAACTAAGCACTGAACCAAGTGCACCATTTAGTCTTTTTGGAGGACGAGTGCCAGCAAGTAATATTAGATCAATTCTATAAAATATATACATAAAATAGTTAGTTTGACGCAAAGATCATGTGTTCATGTGCACTATCAACAAAGCATTAAATCCGTCCCCGGGGACTAGAAATTGGAATGAAGCTTCAACTCTTTTTTTCTTTTTGGCATTAAAAGGTGTTTGGAAAATAATTTGGGATCCACTATAGCTGAAAGCACCGGGCAGCCCTTTTTATTTTTTTTCTATAGCTGAAAGTAACTCCAAAATACTAGTTGATTGGGTCAATGGCAGCGTTTTGGAAAGCGTTAAGCGCAAAAAAGCGACGAGGCCTCGCTTCACAGAAGCGAGAAGCGAAGCGCGCGCTTTTTTGCTGTGAAGCGCAATTTAACACATAAATAAAACAAAAAAATACGCATAGATAAATGGCTAAGAATTCATTAAAAATAACATATTAAGCAAATGTTTCAATTCTTGAATCAAGAAGCGAATAATAGATACTAAAACTTGGACATTCTCAACATAATCTCTCATTTCTTTCTTAATAGTATCCGGAATACTTGGACATTCTTTGACATCTCTAAAACCACCGATTAGATGTCTCTTGTGATAATGTATTCCACCGTTATAAATTTTTTGACAAAAGATACATTGCACTCTTGAGTTATTATTGCCAACTGCAACTCCATACGCCCAAGCTGGATCTCTTTTTTGGCTTGATGCCATTGAATAATCAAATTAAATTTACTACAATCAACAACCAAAAAAAAAAAAAAAAATAATTCACTGATAAATTGCAGAAAACAGAGCATAAAGCAGCATAAAACAGAGCACTTTTAATAACAGAAGAAAAAGAAGTCGTTTAGGGCAAAAAATGAGCGCTTAAAAAGTGAAAAAATTTGAAAGAAGAACAGAAGAGAAGAAGAAGAAGAAGAACAGAAGAAGAAGAAGAAGAACAGAAGAACTGAAGAAGAAGAAGACTAGAAGAAGAAGAAGAAGAAGAAGAAACTTACCAAGATCTGGAGAAGAAGTCGTTGGAGCAGCAGTGGTCGTCGCTGGAGTTCGCTGGAGAAGAAGACCTTGAAGAGCGTATGTTTTGGTAACCGATGGTTTATTTGCCAATTTTTTTAAAAAAAGCCCTAGCTGATGCCTTCTGCTCGCTTAAGCGAGCTTTTTCTCCCTTTTTCTACCGCGTCGCTTCTCGCTTAAGCGAGAAAAGTGCACACCTTTTGAATGTGAGTCGCCTTTTTAACAGAACAGCGCTACCCCTGCGCCTCGCGTCGCTTCATCGCTTAAAGCGAGAAGCGAGCGCTTTTAATAACACTGGTCAATGGAAGCAACATTACTCCCGAAGGATCATGAAAGAAGTTGGAGAACTACAGAACATAGGAGCAAACTAGTTTCACTTTGGAACATTATCAATAGTATTTCCTTCATCTCTCATCGTATAAGGATAGCTTCCTCTTTCTTCAAGTTGTAACAAGGATTTCAGAATATAGTTTCGGTTCCCCAAAAAACTTTATACTCTTTTGTTGAAGATATATATAAATGCTTATTTGGGTTTTTAAAAAAACTATACCCATTGAAAAATATTCGTTTTTTCTAGTTCTTTTTTTATTTATTTTATCTATTACTGATAGTGGATTTTGACACCAACCCGGTCCAACTCATCTCCAATCTTTCTCAAATTTTGTAGTTTGCCTCATCTATGTTGTTCAACAAATTCCAACCACCTATTGAAAAAATTCTTTTCTGTCGAGGATTTTTGAATGTTATATATTATTGGTAACTTTCTTTGGCTATTTTTGATTGCGTAGCTTAATGGCTAATTGTTGATAAGTAGTGCTCCCTCCGTTCCAATTTATGTGAACCTGTTTGACTGGGCACGACTTTTAAGAAAAAATGAAGACTTGTAGAATTTGTGGTCCTAAACAAGTCCAAATGGGACCAGAGTATTTGTGTGGTTATAAAAGCTTCTCATTAAGGGTAGAGTTGTAAGTTTAAGCTAAATTGTTACCAAATTTAGAAAGGATCCATTCTTTTTGGAACGGACCAAAAAGGAAATAGGTTCACATAAACTGGAACAGAGGGAGTATCTATTTGTGGCTTATTTTTGTAGCTCTCTTAATATTTAATATATTCTAAATAACCATTCTTTGTTACCCTATTACATTGTTATTGCTATATCATATTTGTTGCTTTATTTTTAATATTTATTGATCCGAGGGTCTATCGAAAACAACCTCTTTATCTTTATAGGGTAGGAGTAAGGTCTAGGTATACACTACCCTTCCCAAACCCCACTTATGATATTAAACTATAAAATTTGGACAAAAATACTTCATCTAAAACACGGAGAAAAACTCCAGCATATTCATGAGTTCTTGAGTAATTGCGGTGAAGTTGAAACTGTGTCTATCATTGTTCAAATCACTCTCCAAAATTGTTGGTGGAACTGGGGATCATTTTAAATCTATTACCACGTTGTTACGTCCTTAGTCGTTAACTAAGTATACGTGCGGCACTTGACAACTCACTCAAGATCTTGCACAACTTGCTCACGTTCATGTTATGCCAAGTCAGCCTTACTATACTCAAGATCACTAAGAGGATGTTAAAAAGAATATAAGAGAATTTGTTAAAAGAAGCTTTGTATTAGAGAGAACTTGAATTGTTTGATTGGTGAATTACAAAATGAATGACCACTTTTATATACTAGTCTCCTAGGGGAAAATATGCAAACATTAATTGTTATACAAGTCCTTAATTTGATAATGGCTTTCTCTAAAATTCTCAACAAACTTAGAAGATTCCAAGAACTTTCCTAGCAAATCCTCACGGATCTAGGGTCTTCCTAAGAAAATGTCCATACTTCTCTAGAATATTCTCACAAATACTATCTTTCCTCCTATATAAGCTTACGCATGATATTAATATATGCCAAATGACGATTATGTGGCATAATGACACGACAGATCATCACGCTATACATTGAAAGTCTCGTTTCCCATATTTTGAGGAAGGTTGAAGAGAAGATTTTTTTTATATTTAGTGGTGTATACAGTAATATATAGAAGTTGTATTGTTTCTATCAATACAAACACACGTGAATAAAATCCTTAACATAGTGACGTTTATATTTATGAAGAATATAATGACGTCCTTATAGCTTAGACGACCTTTATTTTTGGCCCATTGAAAAGAACACGTTCTGTTTTATTTATAGGAGTTGTTCAAGCTTTTATTGTATGTTTGGAACTGGTGACCTCAATTTCTATTGGAATTCGTCAACTACTCATCCATTCGCAACTATTGGTGCTAACTACCATAATAATAGAACAATCCAAAACACTCAAATCTATAATAGACAAAATGATTTGGACCAAGTCCTCATTCCTTTTCACTAAACAAATGAAGTTAGTTTAATTACAAATGAACAAATTATTTGTTTTATCCACACAAACTCTTCTCTCTTGACTCATAAAATTCTCCGGCAGTGACATCAACATTTTGTTCCAACCCATCCTCTTATACTTTGACATGTACTTTTTCACCTTCATTTTGTGCTTTAAAATCCAATCGGATCCAAGTAGGGTTCGATTCCTGGACCTTCGGAATGACGTAGTTTAAGTTGTTCGCTAGAAACAAATAGGACAATGCAATATGCCCTTGTATAATTGTGCTTTACCATCGAGTTTACATAAAAGGATGAGTACTAACCATGCAAGCCGTAGTGCAACGGCAGAAGGCGGAGAGTCCCTATTTTCTGTTGTTAGGATCAAGTAGTATGATTCCGGCAACAATCTCTGTAATGAAATTGGCGAAACGATGATTAAATGTTTCAGATATTGTGTCTCTATAATCGCCGAAATAACCAAGATAGTTCATGACGTATTGGTGAATTCCTCCACCCAATAACATGGCTCTGGCGGTACTAACTACAATAATAATAGAACAAACGAATACACCACAAGTCTTCAATAGGTATAATGATATGAACCAAGTTCTCATGCCTTTTCATTCAACAAATGAATTTAGTTTAAAATTGGTCTGTGCAATTCCCGATTTGCAACGTAACATTTCGATGCAGAAATACATTACAAATCAAAAATATTTGTTTCGTATACACAAACTTCTCTCTTACCTCATAAAATTCATATGCACTTATTTATCGGCTTCGACTTGAGGATGACATTGACGTTGATACGGACGGCGAAGATGTCCCACTCCATCCCATACTAGAAACCGAAACATTAGCACCATGAAATAAATCCGATAAGTAATTTTGTAAATCATCAGGGGCAAATCTAACAATTGACTCCATTCCAGTGACATTCCTCACCAATTCTCTTATATGCTTCTCGTAAAAAGTCCGATATCTCGGAACAAGCTTGTTAGCTAGTGATACTTTGACTTGGTCTCTGAGTTTCTGGTCAAGTATGACCCATGAACTTTGTTTTCGATATACCTCCTCGAAACTCGAATTAAATTTGCTAAACCTTTGCTTCACTTCCATCGATGAAATCTCAATCGTCAAATTTTCAGGTAATGACATCAACACTTTGTTCCAACCCATCCTCTCATACTTTGACATGTACTCTTTCACCTTCTTTTCGTGCTTTAAAATCCAATCGGATCCAAGTAGGAGCTTTAGATTCGATTCCTGAACCTTCGAAATGATGTAGTTTAGGTTGTTTGATAGGAACAAATAGGATAGTGCCGCGTCCTTGTAAATTTGTGCTTTACCATCGAGTTTACATAAAAGGACGAGTACGAGCCATGCAAGCCGTAGGGCAACAATAGAAGGCGGAGAGTCCCCGTCTTCTGTTGTCATGCTCAAGTAATATGATTCCGGCCACGATGGCTGTAATGAAATCGGCAAATCGACGATTATTTCAGATATTGCATCACTATAATCGCCGAGATAAACAAGGTAGTTCATGACGTATCGAGTTAACGGGTGAACCCCGCCACCTGGCACTGCCTTTGACGTGTCTTTCTGAACAGCCGATTCAAACTCCGACAACATGGCTCTAGCGGCGTCGCTGAGCTTGACCAGTGATATCATCGCCTGAGACTTGACTACCTCCATTGAATCAAAGCTGAAAATCAATTCAATTTTAACCCAAAGCTCACAAATGGCGTCGTAGACGTCCAGCACTCTGAACATTTTCTCAAGTGATAACTTCTTGTATTTGGCCACCATTTCTGGGAACAAGAAAAGACTCAAACCCCCATCTTTAGCAATCTCCGAGAAACAGGATTCTCTTATGTTGTCTGAGGCTGAGAAGACATAATCACAGAGAATCCTCTCACCGTGAAAGAGAGTAGTAACTGCAATCTTAACAGCACTCAACCAATTCTTGATTTTTATCTCCAATAATTCCCAATCCATTTTCTGAACCTGTGAAGAGCTTAATTTCTCAATCCCCAAGTAATACAAAGTCTCATCGATGACTGATTTTCGATTGAGTTTGTAAATTTTCACGCACTCTCTTCCGTAACCAGCTCCAATCATACAATCAGCTATTGATTTCAAATCCGCCATTACAACCTCTGAGACCTTCTCAATTTCACTATTATTAGTCTCTTCAGAAACTTCATCTTCATCTGAAAGACTTGATAGGGTGGCAGTGGATGATCTTGAGGATCTTGACGACACCGTTTCGGAATCAAGAAAGTAACGACTCCCTGATAAGATAGTGTAGAACTCTTTTTGAAGTCTTTTTATGGCAATTTGCATGAGATTATGAGCTCTAACAAGAAGTTTAGAGCTGGAACTGTCTTTGATAACAAACTGCATTGCATGTTGTAAGTCGTTAACGGCGTTAAGAAGTTGCTTGGCTTCTAACGGATTATCACGGAAGAGATTTGCGACTCTGTTATAAGAGGTGGTTGAGGCAGAGGAGGAATCAAGATCCCATTTTTTGATAATTAATTCAGCGTTTTCTATTGTTTCTGCCATTAAAGTTTCACAAAAGGTGTGAGGTGATGATGAATTATGTGAAGGGGTTGAAGGTTTTGATGATGAGAAATAGGGGGTCCTCATTGTTTTCTTGTTGTACAAAAACCTTAGGAAGAAAGAATATAATAGGTGAAAATAAGAGGTGTTTGTTGTTTTTATCTAGATAGTTTCTTGCTTTCTTGAAGAGTTGAGAGAGAGATATGAAAAAAGACAGATTAATTGAAGATTGAAGTGGCGAGACCAAAATTTATAGGAGTACTAGGTTGACTCAGACTCCGAGAGTAGATGAACAGAACGCGGTCCTATAACTACGTCAAACAGTGACTTTTGATTTCTTTCATATATATATATATATATATATATATTAAAATAAATATAATATTTATTTAAACAATGAAAATAATTTTTCTCACACTAACATAGTAAGGGGTCGTTTGGTATAAGGTATAAGAAGGTATAAGGGTGGTATAAAAATTTAATACCACCTTAATACTCTGTTTGTTCAGCAAATCAGGTATAAGTTATCCCGGTGTTAATTTTAACACTGCGATAACTTATACCTTATAGAAGGTGGGATGATTAGCACCGGTATAACTTATACCTTATTCTTAGAAATTATGCAATTGTCATTTTTAATACAACATACCAAACAATGAATAAACAACAATTCCAGCATAACTAATCCCAACATAACTTATCCCAATATAACTTATACCGGTATAAATCATATTCCAACCAAACGACTCCTAAGTATGTTAAATATCTCCTGAATATACATAGATGATGAATTTAATTAAATTAGTTGTACATTATTTGATAGTTATACATATTGTCACGACCCGGAATTCCCACCATCGGGACCGTGATGGCGCCTAACATCACACTTGCTAGGCAAGCCAACGTTAGAGTATTATTAACCAATTTCCTTTACGTTTCAATGATTAAAAGTAAACAAACCAAAACAAGTAGAAATAATTGCGGAAGTAAGTAAACAGCCTCTTTGTTTATATACTATTACCAATAAATCCGGTGTCACAATCCACGAATGCACAATGATTTTCTACAAACATCAGTCTGAAAGAAATTACAACTGTTTTGGAAATAAGGAAAACAGTACTATAGAGATGTAGAAGGGGGCCTGCGGACGCCAACAGGACTACCTTGGGTCTCCAAACTATGTAATCTGAAGCCAAGCCACTACCTGCTCCGAAATCTACACAGAAAGTGCGGAATGCAGTATCAGTACAACCGACCCCATGTACTGGTAAGTGCCGAGCCTAACCTCAACGAGGTAGTGACGAGGCTAGCGGGGCAATAACAATAAAACCTGCATACAATATATAATAAAAGCAGAAAGAAGAACGGAACAAAATAAAATAGTAACTTGCAAGGAATGAATACAGAACTCAAGTATCTTATCAGTGTCCAGCTATAACCAATCCTTAAGTGAAATCAAAACTACAGAATAACTTACATAGTAGAAGAAAGATACATAAACACATAAACTGATGCGGCAGCATCCCGATCCCGCCATATAATCAATATCAATATGAATATTCACCCTTATTACTCCATATCAATCCACCCTTATTCCTCCTGTTGCGGCATGCAACCCGATCCCACCGTATAATAGCAATTCACCCTTATTCCCCCTTAATATATCACCTTTATTCCTCCTGTTGCGGCGCCCAACCCGATCCCACCATATAATAAATTTTACCCTTATTCCTCCTCAATATATCACCCTTATTCCTCCTGTTGCGGCGTGCAACTCGATCCCACCATATTAGTATCAATTACTCAATAAGAACAGAAATTTCACAATTTAACTCAAAACTCTCCACAATATTTAAACCTCAAACCAAAGCAAACGGAAAGCTTGTACATTATGAAACTTCACACAATTAATACGACTCAGCGAAACCAATCCAAAATATACCATAAAACACCGGTAAACCAGCTTAAGCCAATAATATGAGACAATGGAACTACGGGATATCTAATACCTTGAACAACGAAAACCAATATCTGACAAGTAGAAATTAAATATGGAAATACCAGTAAAACATGTAACAGTTGAGGGAGGAAAACAATATAATAAGAACGGGAAGAAAACATGCAAAACAGGTAAATTGGCGGCGCATAGGTACTTGTCACCTCACCAATACACCACTCACATGGATTTTCGCATAGCAATAAAGTCAAGGATCCCTAATCCCTCGAGTCAAAGTTAGACACAACACTTACCTCGATCCACAGGCCACTCGCTGATCAATTACCGCTTTTCCTCTAGATTCCACCTCCAAACCACTCGTATCTAGCCATAATTAACTTAATACATAAATTTAGGTTTCCCAACATTTTCCCCAAAAAAGTAAAAAATCAACCTCGGTCCCGCTTGGTCAAAACTCGAGGTTCGGACCAAAATCCATTCACCCATTCACCCCGAGCCCGAATATGTAATTAGTTTCGAAATCCGACCCCAAATCGAGGTCTAAATTCACAGTTTGCAAAAACCCCCCAATTCTTCCAAAAATCCTTAATTCTACCATAAAAGCACAAGATTTAGGACTAGGAATATAATGGGTGATGAAGGAAATTGAAGAAAATGAGTTAAAGAGTACAAACTGATGACTTAGTATTGAATTTCCCCTTCAAAAATCGCCTCAGGCCGAGTTCTAATGAAAGAGATATGAAATTTTGAAGAAGTCCCGTTTTTGGGTCTGTTTTAAAATCACTGGACAGGCCTTCTTCGCGTTCACGAAGGGCCTGTCGCGATCGCAATACAAAGCGGCCCAAAGGCCTACACGTTCGCGAGTCTCACTACGCGTTCGCGAAAGGATACTCCGCCCTTGCCTTCGCGTTCTCAACCCAATGATCGCGTTCGTGTAGAAGAGCAACTGACCCCCTCCCCTAGGTCCCTAAGCCATCGCGTTCGCATCGAGCCGGTTGCACTCGCGGAGGGTAAGACCCCCATTGCTCCGCGTTCGTGACCAAGTCTCCGCATTCGCGAAGAGTGAAGTCCTCCCCCAGCCCATTTCCCCTTCGCGATCGCGAGGCACAAAGCTTCAGAATACCAGCTGCAGCAAAACATACAGATTTATAAGCCTAAAACATCTCGTAGCCTATCCGAAACTCACCCGAGCCCTCGGGGCTCCAAACCAAACATGCACAAAAGTCTTATAACATCATACGAACTTGCTCGTGCGATCAAATCAGCAAAATAACACCTAAAACTACTAATTTAGCACCAAATCACATGAAATTCTTAAGAACACTTTGAAATTTCTATTTTCACAACCGGTCGTCCGAATCGCGTCAAATCAGTTCCATTTCTCACCAAATTTTATAGATAAGGTATAAATATTATTTTGGACTTATACCGGACTCCGAAACCAAAATAGAGGCCTGATACTAACAAGATCTTAACATTAACCAAATTCTTAAAACCATTTAATTTCTAGTTTTTCAATTTTCATAAAAAATTCATTTCTTGAGCTAGGGACCTCGGATTCGATTCCGGGCATACGCCCAGGTCCCATATTTCGATATGGACCCGCCGGTATTGTCAAAACACGAGTCCTGGTCCGTTTACTCAAAATATTGACCGAAGTCAACTAAATCAACTTTTGTGAGCACGTGATTTTTGCCCTAAGCAATAATTCCCAAAATTTCAAACAAAACAATTTCTCTAGTATTTTGTAAATTTTCGTGAATTTGGTGGCAATTTTTTGGTAATTGTTGCATTTTTATTCATGCATATGAAAATACAAAAATATGCATTTTTTGCATTTAGGATTTAATTTTACAATTTTAGTATTAATTAGGTATTAATTAGTTTTAGAACAAAATTTAAAGAAAATTGCAAAAATAGTTTCTTTGCACTTTTAATTGTTAATTGTTGCACTTATCTTTAAATAAAGTTTTAAATAATTTTAGGAGTTAAATAGTTTAATTAGGTCTTTGTTTTGTTTTAGCATTTTATAAAATCAAAAAAAAATATAAAATACAAAAATGAAAGCAAAACAAAAATGAAAAAGGGAGACAATTAAAATAAGAGAAAGTGGGGCTTGATAAAAAGACCAAAACTGGGCCAAAATTGGCTTAGCCCAAATTAAATAAACCCCTGAAACCCGCCTGGCCCATACCCATTCCCTAACCCGGCCTGCCCCCGCCCCAAAACGACGTCGTTTCGCCCTGTTAAATCTGGACCGTCGAGGTTACCAGATCTAACGATCGAGAAGCCTACGTCCCTAATTATATAACTGTCTTAACGATACCTCCCCCCCCCCTTTCAGACCCCCCTGCCTCTCATCTCTCACACTCCGGAGAACCCACCGTCGCCCACCGTAACACCACCGTCTACCACCGTCCCTCCGCCGTCCGCCGCCGGCCGGAAATCGCTCACGGCGGCGGTCAAGCTCCAAACCCACCCATATTTTCACCATCGACTCCTCTCCCCCTCCACTTTCTAATGCCCAAAATATGTTCCCTCGAATGTTAGCCAATCTGCTTGAATCTTCAAAATTACCGTCGCCGTCTCCGCCGTGTCCGGCGGCGGTCACCCCAAACTCGTCCAAACTAACACCCCTGAACCGCCTTGGTCTCCTCTTTCCAAACCCCCAAACCCCGTCCCTCGAATCCTCGCCGAACTCCTCGAATCTCCGATCAAAGTTCCGGCCAAAATCCTAATTTTCCCAAACCTCACCAAATCGATGCCATGTGCTCCCCTCGCTTCCCTCATGTTGAATCCATCGTCAGTCGCATTCAAATCTCACCAGAGATGTTCGAATTTTGAATCTGAGAAGTGGCAAGATTTTAGGAGTTAAAACCAGTAAGTTTCTTATATCCTTTAGGTTGTTGCGTAGTTATCTGATTTAACTTTGCTCTCATTATTGTTTTGCCTCATGAATAATCGACTCGAGTTTCTTTAGAGCCAGTAATCCTTATTGTTTCTATTTTGTTCATGTCGGCTGAATTCTAATAGTATACAACACGAATTTAGTTCGTTTAAGTTTTGTCATCATAATTCTTTGTTGTTAATCAGTGTGCTAGGGTGTAGGATTAATGCTGGAGTAAGTCAGTAGATTTTTCTTTCATTTAATTAATGCTTCTTAATAATAATTGATGCTGACTTTAGTCTTTAGTTTTCGGTTCAATTTTGCTGTGATTTTTTGCTGGTTTGAGTATCGTTGTCGAGTGAGTAAGTCATTGATGATTCGACTCCAGTTCAATTTGGTTTGAATTATTGACTTGTTTGGTGAATTAGCTTAGTCTGGATTAACAATTTAGTTAGAAATTCCATGTTCTGATCAATGGGTTGAGTAGTTAGTTCAACTGTAGGGTTTGTTTGGTTTTAGCTGAATTCCTCTATTTTTTTGGGTAATTAACCATGGTTACTACTAAGGTTAAGGGGCTGGGTCAGGTAATTCTAGCTTGGTCAGTAATTTCAGGGGATTCAAAGGGTAGTTTAGGCATGGAAAAGGGTAGTTTCATTAAGATTGGTAATTGTTGAAGTAAAGTAAGGGTAGAATAGAAATTGTAATGGGTATAGAACCTTCTAGGATGGACTATAGTGCATATTTCAGTAAACTTAGGGTAGTTACTTGTGTGACAAGTCAGAAAATAAAGGATAAAAAATAGAATTAAAATAGAGACCAATGGGGTAAAGGGAAAATCTGAAATTGGACCTAAGCTCACCTATAAATAGGCATTCATTTGCCTTGATTCACAAGTTTGGAGGCCTAAAATTCACCCCCCCCCAAAGTGTTTACAGATCTGAAGTCTGAAATTCAAAAAAAAAAATTCAAAAAACCAAAACAAAAACAGTAGAAAAATCCAAAAATAATATACTGCTCTATTGGGACTCTCTTAGATCAGGTTTGAATTTCATTTGTAGATCAAGTTTCAGTACAACAGAAGGTTAAAAAATGGTTTGAGTATCTTCTAGACCTTGTTTGGTTCAAGCTCAGGGATTTTTTGGTTGATTTCGAGTGTATTTTGGTCCAATCATATCTGGTTTTTCATCTGCTTTTGGTGTTTAATCTGCTGCTAGTCATTCCTGGGTCTGCTGTGGTATTTTTGGATTTGAAAGTGATCTAGCTGCTTTGAATTTGGGCTGCTGTTCGTTACTGCTTTAGCTGACTTCCCTCTTCCTCATTTCTGTTCTGATTTCCAGGTATGTTCTTAGGCTCAAGTGATGTGGAAGCTTGTGTTAACATGCGTAAACATAATCTGCTGTTGTTGTTTAGTTTAAGTACACGCATTTGACCTCACAAGTGATGTACTCTTCCATTGAAATGAAATGAAGTGATGATTCAAGGCTGTGCTCATGGTGAATGTTTATGGATGTGGTTAGTTTAGAACTATGTAATGGTGTAATTTCAGTGCACCTGATATGTTAAAATTTGGACTGTTTGACTCAGTATATTTGAACTTGTATATGAATTTCATAGACTGTTAAGGTGGCTCAGTTAGTTAGTGATGTTAAATCGATTCAATGTGTTGTTAGTATAGCATAGGATAATGTGAGGTAGCTTCCTTTGTTAGTAGTGTTTAACAAATTAACCCCTGTTTCCGTGTTAACTTCAATTCTGTTAATCAGGGGAACATGAGACTGGTTTATTTTAGCTGAAATAGCAATTAGATTGTTACTACCGTCGAATCTCAAGCAAGGCCTAAGTAATTGCCTAATTAGTCGATGGGGCTGGGACGGTTGGATTTGCATCCAGGCGCAATTCGCCGTCTCTGCCCGGGCTCGATTTGGGAGCCATGCTTATTAGTTACACTTGAATGTGCCTAATCACACCTGGGCTAGCTTTTCTAGTAGCAGGCCCCAAAGCGTTGGGCCCTGGACAGCATATCCTTGATTCTGGATTATAAATTGGCAAGGCTTAGTAGTCTGTTTAAATTGACACAGCTTCCGCTGGGCCAGGGTCCATGTTTGACTGGATTTTGCTTATGGACTGAAATTTAACTCACATGGCCTGGGTTTGTCTTTGGGCCCGAAGGCATATCTAAGTCAATGATAAATTAATTAGGACTTTTTCCTTTTATTTTAGAGACGAAATTAAGTAGAGAATCGTAGTTGCTTTTAGGTTGGCCTTAAAATAAATGAGACGAGCCTTGCCAAATTAAAACATATAAATTGTGGGGCCCTCATTAAAGATTATATAAAAAATATTTAGAAACTCGGGACATGCCATTTAGCGAATTTTCATGGCTTCCCCACAAGGTTAATAAGACGCTAGCTACTTTAGGCGCGCTTCTTAATAATTTTACCTTCCTAAATACGGGTGCACATTTATGTGACCCAAATCCAAATCTCAACGAAGTCGAAATGTGTTAACAATCACGGGCGCACTGGCGACGCGGTTCGAGACGCATTTTCACGACGTTGCAAATTCTTATTAAAAATAAAAATAAAAGTGGTTTACTAATAAAAGCATAAGCTAGAACATGTGTTGAAATCAGATAAATTCAAATACAACAGTTGAGCGACCGTGCTAGAACCACGGAACCCGGGAATGCCTAACACCTTCTCCCGGGTTAACTGAATTCCTTACTCGGATTTCTGGTTCGCGGACTGTTAACAGAGTCATAATTTCCTCGGATCGGGATTCAACCGGTGACTTGGGACACCATTAATCACCCAAGTGGCGACTCTGAATGTTAATAATAAATCCCGTTCCGACTGTCCTTTAATTGGAAAAACTCCTTTACACCCTCATAGGTGTAGCGTAAAAAGGAGGTGTGACAGCTCTGGCGACTCTGCTGGGAACAAGAACCCAGAATCTCTGGTTCAGGGTTCAGAATTCGAGCTTAGATATATTGTTGTATTTGGCTTTATCTGATTTTTCTACATGTTTCATGCTAAATGTGCAAAATGTTGCTGTTTACCGCTTTGATATTATCTGGATTGTATATAAACTGTGGCGAAACCCTTCTCTTCTCACCTCCGGGGATGTGCTTACTGGTTGAGACTCCCTATTCTGTTAGTGTCAATACCCTGAAATAAGAAAGAGGCCGAACAAGTTACTAAGCCGGATGGCCCTTTGGTTCCCGGTACGTAGCCCCCTCCTCGACTCGAGTTGTCCGCTCGGGTACACAGTCTAGAACACATACCCAGGTTTTGAACCTAGAAGAACTTGACTTCATGCCGGATCCCTAGTAGGACGTTTATCTGCATCACGTGCATATGACTTAGGGGACTCAACACAGGGGTTGGGTCCGTCTAGGACAGGTGTACCCGGAATAATGGACCATCCTGATACATCCTACTTGTGCATTTATCTGTTTGGACTCTCATGCTGACCGGCTTTGAATATTTGGGAAAAAGTGGAAAAACCAAAAGAGAAAATAGCGATATAGAGAGTTAAGTTCCTATATTAGAAAAAACCAATGTCCAAGTAGTGCCGAAATGTTGCCGAATTTTTGAAAATGAAAAAAAAAAGAAGAAAAGTTCTTTTTAGTTTGCCAATGGAAAAGAAAAACAAAAAGAGTTTTATTTTCACATTAGTTTATTTTATTTACCATTGAAAAAGGAAATATATAAAAAAAAAAAAGAATCTTGCTTTCAGAAATAGTGAATTTGCCAACAAAAACAACAAAAGAGTCCTGTTTTCAAAAATAGTTAGATTTATATGCCCGAACTACGCTGGTTTGATTCTCACCGGATATGAGATACGTAGGCAACCCTCGTCAGGTCCAACCTCCCTTTTTGCAAAACTAGCCAAAATGCCAAAATTTTTTTTTCATGAATAAGTCGGGTGACGCCATTCTTGTCAAAAATAAGCCAAACGTCCCCAAAAGGGCGCCGGAAGGCTGTTTTTGCAAGAACAGCCACCCTGAGTCATTTTCTAAACGGTTAGCAGGCACAGCCTTAAAATCTTCCTTATGAAGTGCTGAAAGGCCGTATCCGCAATACCGGCTGTTTGTTTAAATTGGAAATTTGAACAGAGATTGTGCCATTTTCCTCTTTTAGGTCAAAATAAGTGATTAAAATCACCTTAATAAATGTGCAGGATGAGCACGACTCAAAATGAATTATTTTCAATCATGCATAAAATACCTTTGGAGTTACGTCTGTGGTGGAACGACTTAGGCGGAGAAGGGCAGGATGCAGTCAAGAAAACATTTGAAAGGGCTTACCGGTTTGCTCGATATTGTGCCTCGGGGAGATATTATTAGAGCACTGGTTACATGTTGGGACCCAGCACATAATGTGTTCCATTTTTCGGACTTTGAGCTTACCCCGACATTAGAGGAGATAGCTGGCTACATTGGAAAGGATGAGGTTCCGTTGAGGCACAAATACTTGGTTGCCCCCAGAGTTGTAGCCGTGCACAGATTTCTAGACTCTTTGAAGATAGTCAGAGCCGTCCATAACGCAGATCTGGCAAATGGCTTTTGTACTCTGAGCTTCATATATCATCGATATGGCCATATCGGGGGGTTCAACAACCCAGAAAGTAAGATATGTAGCAAAGGAAACCGCCAAAAGTGGGAAGAGCATCGACGTTTCGCCTTTATGGTAGCTTTCCTGGGGCTTCTGGTATTTCCAAGGAAGGATGGGAACATTGACATAAAAATAGCTGGGGTCGTCAGCACATTAATTACTCAAGCCAAAAGTACACTGGCACCTATGATATTGGCTGACATCTTCCGTGCTCTTACAGCTTGCAAGGCCGGGAAAGCTTTCTTCGAAGGGTGCAGTCTATTGTTACAAATGTGGATGATCGAGCATCTGTGTCATCGCCCTCAGTTTTTGAGCTACGGGTCACCAGAAAAAACATGCATAGAAGAGTTTTACACGAGGATTAAAGGGGCCGAATTGCCAGAAG